TCTTACTGGGGGAATCTGAGGCTAGGAGGGGCAGAAATAGTAATCCTCATGTATCAGTTTGCTAGGGCTGCCATGACAAAATTCCACAGGCTGGGTGGCTTAACAGAGATTTATTTTCTCACAGTTCTGGAGGCTGGAAGTCTGGGGTCAAGGCGTCAACTGGATTGGTTTCTGGTGAGGGCTGTCTTCCTGGCCCATAGATGGCTGCCTTCTCCCTGTGTCTTCACAACATCGCTCTGTGTGTGTCTACATCCTCACCTCTTCTTATAAGGACACTGGTCATCTTGGATGAGGACCCACCCCCACAGCTTAATTTAAACCCTAGTAGCCTCTTTAAGGATCCTGTCTCCAAATACTGTCATATTTTGAGATACTGAGGGTTAAGATTTCAAGGGCAGGGCACAGTTCAGCCCATAACACCCCACCATAAGTCAGAGAAGACATGGAGAAGCTCCTTTTCTCAGGAGATGGCAGCAAGGGATAGGGTCCCAAGGCCAGACCCAAATGCCGGAAGACCAAGTCAGAGCCCAGGCCATCAACAGGAGACGAACTGGTCTGCAGGGCAAACTGGGGTCAAAACAGAGCTGCAGTGCAGCCTGGGGGCACAGTGGGGCCAGGGTTCAGAACCAGGCCCACGGAACTGTTATGGGCAGCCTGCTGTGGAGGTGAGGGGCAGACAGGTGCCAGCGGGTGTGTGTGTGTGTGTGTGTGTATGTGTGTGTCCTCCCAGGTCAGTCTGGAGGGCATGGGCACTCCTTAGTGCTGTGCGTCCAAGGTGGGTCCACGCAACGCCTTCCACCCCAATCTCTCCCCTCTTCCACCTCCAGTCCTGGCCTGACCTCAGTCTCTAAGTTGATCAGCCTCCCTTCTCCCCACCCCACATCTGTCTTCCTTCAAGGAACCTTCCAGTAGCTTTTCCTCCCATGCCATGCTCCATGATGTCTGGCGGTCAGAGCTCTGTGCCGAGAGGCAGGCCAGAGTGCAGGTTAGCACACATATATGTGTACACTCAAGCACACACTTAGTGTCTCTGAAAACTTGACGGACCATGTATCTATTCATTCCACCAGTCTTACCTCCTCCCTTTCCAGCCACACCAGAAGGCTTCAAGGGCCTTCCCCACCTCCCGGGGAAAACTGAGGTCCAGAGAGATCAAGCAGGATCCTTTAAGCTCCAGAATAGGTGAGTGGGAGAGCATAGATTAGTGCTAGCGTCTCAGAGACCCACCCTGCTCCACCGCTGAGGAGACTATAGGGCCCCAGCAGGATGGAGTGGTTCATGGTGGCGATGGGAGAGGCTGCTGCGGGCCACAGTGACATACATATAAAAATTGCTATGCCTTACTGTCAGCTTTTTGGCTCCCTCTTCTGAATGCCAGCTGTTTTCTTGATACAGGTTACTTCCCCTTCCAGAAACTCAGCTTTCTTATCTGCAAGGTTGCTAACAGGGTCCAGAGCCCCTAGGCCTGGGGCCAGGAGCCCTCCCCTCACTGGCCACCCAGTCTCCTCTTGGATGCCCCATTGACAAGGAACTCATTACGCCCACAGCATCCCAGTCAGTGCTGGGCTGTTCATTCAGAGAATTTCATTCTTTCAACAAAAATGTATTGAGGGCCTGCTATGTGCCAGGCCATGTTGTAAGCACTAAAATAGAGCAGAAAGCAAAGCCCTGTCTGTGCCCCCATGGAACTTAATTTCTAGTTGGCAGAAACAGACACATGCATATAATATAGAGTTAAGTGGTGGTAAGTGCTATGAAGAAAATGAAATAGGAAAAGGAATAGATAGAGATCAGTGGCACGGATGGGGGAAAGACAGTGCTACTTTAGATAAATGATCAGGAAGATGTCCCTAAACAAAGATTGATGAGAGAGAGAAAAAAAAAGAGAGGGGGAGAGAAACATGTGAATATCAAGGGGAGAAAATTCAAGGCAGGAGGAACAGCAATGCAAAGGCCCTGGGGTAGAAATATTTTCTCATTATATTCCAAGGACAGCAGATGGTTTGGATGATCCAGGATCCTGGTTTTGCTAGACCAGCTCCTCCCCCAGTGGGGTGAGGGGATTCAGGTGGGGGATGCAGTCACACTTCCCCAATCCCTTCCTTCATGCCCCTCTGAGTCCGGTGCCCATCTGGTGGTCTCTGCCTCTGCTGTGCCTCCAAGGAATCCAGATGGTCAGTCGTGAAGTTGGAACAGTAAGAGAGGGCAAAGGGGACTAAGTGCCACTTAGCAGCTCTGGGGTCTCCAGGGGATGGATAACAAAGGCAGGGCTAGTCCCCCCCACCACCTTGTACCTCTGCAGCCTGGATAGTGAGCACTGAGAGCTCACTGACCGCAGCTGCACTTCTCCCAGCCTAGAGGGAGGAGCATGGGGCCCCACCTTGACCCCAGCACTCAAAGGCCCTGTACCTCCCCATACATGCAGCAGTGCCCCTGCCCTGAGCGGCTCTGCAGGTCCCAGAGGATGTCCTGTTCTTGGTCTTTCAGCTACTCTCAATGTCCCTGTGAGGGGGAGGGACTGATGTCACCACCGCAACTTTAGAGGTGGAAACTGAGGCTCAAAGTGGAAAGCAACTTGCCCAGTGAGTCTGTGGCAGAGAGAGGCCTTGCACTTGAGTCCCAAAGCTGGTTGGTTCGCCTGCTTGCTGCTGCTTCCAAAGCAGGGTCCAAATGTGGATCCTGCATTTCCACAGTCAGCCTCGGGGCCAGCATTCCCCAGGCTGCAGGGACACATTATGAGACCTCAGGCACCAGCCAGAAAGGCTCTCCCCATCTCTGCAAACAACTTCCTGTCCTCATTTGGACTCTGCTGCACACCTGCACCCCACCATCAGTTCCCAGCATTTCTTGCCAATGATTTCCCCACTTGGTCCTAAGGGCTGCTCAGGTCCTCCCGAGCACGCCACAGGAGAAGTGGTGAGAGCACGTGCCACGCCTCTTAAAACAACTGACCCCAATGGCCTTCGTCATACCCCAAGCCTGTTGCCTTATTTTTTGAACGAGGAAGATTACTGCAGATTTTGTTTTAAAGGATATTGAGACCAGAGGCTCAAGAGCAGGGGATTTTTAGTTCACTGCTTTTGCGAGGAACTGGATGTGAAAGTTTGTGAAACTGCCAAGGTTTAATTGACAGTGGTAAAATGATAAATATGCATAAACTGCAAGTAATGTCTAGTACTGACTAGGAGTCTCCTCTTTGGGACGTAGGTCTCTGCAGATCACTCAGTGTAGAGCAGCCATGATTTGTGGAAGGCTTTCTTGGTGCAAGGCCAGGTAGGTAACAACTCCTACACAAGGCAGGATGGAAGGTCCCCTCAGAGAAGGACAAAGCTCTGAGGAAACTCCCAGGAGTTGAGGACACATCTTGGAGGGCTTCACGGAGGAGGTGGCATTGAAGCTGGACCCTGGAGGAAGATTCAGATTTGGATGTGCACAAATAAGAAAGGAGAGAATCTAATGCAGAGGGTGCAGCATGAGCAAAGGAGGGGAGATAAGGCAGCATCCGTGAGTGTGAAGGTCAGTGAGTTGTCCAGTTAAGCCACCAGCAGGGCATTGGGAGGAGGAGTCCTAGGAGAAAAAGGATCCTGATGCTTTGTGTAGGGGCCCTGAATGTCACGCTTAGGTACAAAAGTGAGTTTGGGTTTTATTTTGTAAGCAGATGGGAGAGCATCTTTGATATATACACATTTGCATTGTGTTGCACAATTCATAGAGTGCTTTCTTATTTGATTCTCAGAAACAAAACAAATGACAACACAGCCTCCTGCGAGACCAGCATTACTGTTATCATTGTCCTGATTTTACAGTTGAGGAATGTGACTCGGGAGGTTCTTGGGGAGATCCAAAATAAGATTTCAAACCTCAAGCCTCCACTTGGGTCCTTCCTGTTCCTTGACAGTGTCCAACAAGTTTTGAGCTGGGAGTGAGGGGGGCAACAGTGTCTGATTTGTGTCCAGGAGAGAAAACACTCTGGCTGCTTTGTGGGGCAGGAGAATGCCAGGGAGGAGGGGAGACCCTGCTGGCCAGTGGTACGTCGTCATAGCGACAGGAGTAAGGCCAGAATGGGAGCAGGGAGGGAGGGCAAGGGGCAGCCTGAGGTGGAATTGCCAGAAGTTGGCAGCCTCCTTGGTAGGTGGGGAGAGGGAGTTAAGAGGAGGGAGGAGGCCCATGTTTAGGTGTGCGAGACTGAGAATAAAATTTCCTGCTTATATAGTCTGTGGCCAAAGGGAGAAGGGAGACAGCTGGATCCCTGGGGACCCTACACCAGCTGAGACAGCAGGTGCAATACTAAGGAGCTTGGGTTTGAGAGTCAGAGGACCCCAGATTCGAGTCCCGCTGCTGGCCCCTTTGCCCATGTAACTTGGTTAAATTATTTAAGTGCCTTGCACCTTAGTTCATTTATCTGTAAGATGTTAGAATTGGCACTCAAAAAGGAAGTTACTGATAGAAAACTGGTTGCGTGGAGGGAGATCATAATAATACGTACCTCAAAGGATTGATCTGAGGATGAAATACAGTAACGCCTGTCCCACACGGAGCGCAGTGCAGGTTACACAGGGATCACAGGGACTCTTTTCAGCACCAGAGTCCACTCAGTCCTTTATTTGCACGACTTTGAAAGTCCTCACAATGGCACTTTGAGGCAGAAACAATTTTTATACTTGTTTTACAAGTGAGGACGCCGGGGATAGAACCTCCTGAAGGTTCACAAGCTTTTGCGATGGTATTGGCTTTACCCCTATGTCGCAGGTAAATACATGAAGCGGTGGCTGAGAGGGTAATTCACATACAAGCAAAGGGGGTGCCAGGCTTGGAGTTCGGGGAGCCAGGCCTGAGCCAGGCTACGGACCCACCGGAGGATAGACAGCCAGGCTGAACCTGCCCAGTTAGAAGAGTGGGCAGCCCTCTGTGGGGTGGGCGAGACGAGGCTGGAAGCACCCGGGGGTTCCAGCGTGCCCTCTCCTGACCACCCTGGGCCTCTTTCCTCTGTCTGTCCCCAGCCTCTGGCCGCTCCCACCCGGCCAGCCCCAGCCCGCCGGGGCCGCAGGCCAGCCCGGTACTGCCAGTCAGCTACCGCCTGTCGCACACGCGGCTGGCCTTCTTCCTGCGGGAGGCGCGGCCCCCGTCACCCGCGGTCGCCAACAGCTCCCTGCAGCGCTCCGAGCCCTTCGTGGTGTTCCAGACCAAGGAGCTGCCGGTCCTCAACGTCTCGCTGGGGCCCTTCAGCACCAGCCAGGTGGTGGCGCGGGAGCTCCTGCAGCCTTCCAGCACCCTGGACATCCCCGAGCGCCTGACGGTGAACTGGAAGGTGCGGGCCTTCATTGTCCGCCCGCGCGTGCCCGCCTCGCAGCCCGTGGCCCAAGTGCTGTTCTACGTGGCCGGCCGGGACTGGGACGACTTCGGCGTCACCGAGCGGCTACCCTGTGTCCGCCTGCACGCCTTCCGGGATGCCCGGGAAGTCAAGAGCTCCTGCCGCCTCAGCGGGGGCCTGG